AAAAAAAAAAAAAAAAAAAAAAGCTACATAAAAAGGGGAAGAGAAGAATATTTGGTTATGATTTTATTCTGCTACAAGGAATTCTGTTCATTTTACCATAAACACATTGAGTTGGTCTCTTACATTGAAAAAGAATCCTCTGCACTAGATTTGGTGCACGCCACTCTCTTCTTGCTAGTCTATATCTCTGCATACAGCTATTTATTGTCAACTCAGACTGATCAGGTCTGAACATGAGTGATAATAAATGCAAATCCGGATACAAGTTCACACAATTCTATTAAGCTGAGTTGATAGAGATGGAGAAAGGGTATTGATTAGCAACTGGGTCTCTAAAGGTACATGTATCTACGTACCAATACCTCCTCTCCTCTGCTTGGTTGACATGCTTGATTTACCTTACCAAATTTTGAACCATACAATTGGCAAGTAGAGCGCCTCAATGGTCCCAATCAATTTCTCTGATAATCAATATGTGAATGCTATCTGAAACATCAGAATCTGAATTGGATGATAAAAAAAAGATGCCATATGGCGGTGTCCTACAGCGGAAATAATGAGCATCCTCCAATGTTCTTCAGGACACTTGTATTTGTTGCGTCCAAGATGCATTGACATATTCCCTCAGACTAAAGTTGATGACAGCCGACAGGTTCCTTTTTCCAACTAAACTAATGGAAAGAATAGTTGAGAAAACTGAAATGTTTGAAGTAGAGAAACTTCAAATCAGTTCATGCTTTGAAATATCCCCAAAACAAACAAGAAGTCTTTTAGATTCTAGTTAACACAAAACGAAGATCATCTTAACCATTTGAATGACTCAAGACATAGTTCCAAAAATAACATCCATTTCCGTATCTCAGGCCTGTTTAATGTTTAGCACAAAGGAACTAAATTGCATTTGAGATTTGCATGTGTGCATTTCCCTCACGATACCAAGGGCACAAATGGGAACTTATTCCTTTCTAGTTCCCTTTGTTCCTTTCTACATTTTTTTTTTTAACAAGAGACATCGGTTCTAACTAATATGGTCGGAGTTATAAAAGAAGAGAAAAGTCCCCAATGAAAGTAGCAAATAAAAAACTGCACCAAGAATAATTAATTACAAAATAGTTGACCAAAAATAAGCTACAAAATTTGACAAGGCCCGCAGATGCACCTTTTTCCTTTTCTTTATTATCTTATCGAGGGGATGTGGCCGAATTTCCGGAGCAAATCCTTTCCTCTATTCATCAAGAGAGTTCTGCCGTGTTTTCTAACCCTTTGCCCACAGATAAATGTATGATATTATCCTTAGTAGCATTGTCAAACCCAGTTCATACAATTTCTAAAAAGGGTGTTCAAACAGTAGAGACTAAAAAGGCAAGTGATATTGACTCCCTACACTTTGACAACAAAGAACATACCATATTGGATGAAACAACATTACGGGGCCACCTTTGGATTACTTGTCCTGTGTTAATTCCTCTGAGGAATAGGTCCATCTCGCCTCAATAACTCAAACCCTATTTCTTATTGGTATTTCTTTCCTGATTTCCTTTTAAGTGGATATTTGAATACCAAATATGGCTTTTAATAATCGATCTTCCAATACAAACGATGACTTTATGCCATTTGAGGCATTAACTTAGCTACCAAAGACATTAAGTCTCATCCCCAAAAATCTCATTGTTGATTTGAATCATTGAATGCTTAATTTCTCATATAGATAATTCTTAATGCAATGGATCATGTGAGTTTCAATACATTTGACATGAACCACAATGAACCAGCTTGGTGGTCGAAGAGAGTAAAAGTCACGGGTTGAGACTTTAAATGTTGTCTACCTAAGATGTCAAGTATTTGTTTAGTTTTTCAACGCCAAATGTCTGTTCACTACCGCAGTTGTCCTTCGATATTGCTGCAGTGCACATAAGTTGACTCCAACATTCATGATTATCCAATCAAAATTGCATTTGACATGACAAAGACTAACTTCACTTCACACCCCACTTCAAAACTATAGGCTCACACCTTCAACACGTCAAGATTAGCTCAGAAACTTATCACTACCTCATCAATATATCAAATAGAGAAGTGAAGGAATAAAATGGTTGACTCCACACCTCCAAATTCACCCCAAACACAGATTAAATAATTCCTCAGATTAGTTAACTCCCGAAGCTAAACAACTCAAGATTAAATAACTTCACTTCTTGCTCCAAACGCCCCCTCAATGGATTAAGGCCATCCCTTCCCAATCCTAACTTGAATCTCAATTATTGCATTCTTTTGAGTAACTTTCTGTAGTCATATCGAGCCACGTGGGAAAACAAAATTCTTTTCGCTAGGACCAGGCGACCGTGTCAGAAAGTAAAGAATAGAGTTCCAAACAGAACCGATTCACGGTACCAATATGCATCACATGCTTTATACTTGAAGAGATAACAGTTAATTAAAAGCAAGCAACAAGAAGATCTCTAATAGAGAAGAGCAACACTAGAACATTATCAACACAAACATGAGATCAATAATTGAAAACTAAATCGAAAGATGCAGGGTAAAGGAAAATCAAACTCTAAGCGGTTCCACTGCTTCTAATGCCTCCACAGCGCTCCCCTGCTTTATCATCGACTGAAAATGAAATGATTGGAATCGGTGGAGAATGAGGTTCAAATAGGGTTTGGTCCATTCGAGTCTTTAGCAAAGACAGAGAGATGTATCGAACAAGAAGGGTGAACACAAAAATTACGAATCCTTCAATTCTGGATTCATATTGTTCCCTCCATTCGTTAATTATGGCGCGGGGTTTTCTTTTTTCTTTTTCCTTTTTTTTTTGGAGAAAGAAAGAAAAAAAAAAAAGGCAAAAACATTAGCGCCGTTGCCGGGGATCGAACCCGGGTCACCCGCGTGACAGGCGGGAATACTTACCACTATACTACAACGACCAGATGTTTACAATATCTGCCTAAAGATTATATTTCTTTAGAAAGTTTCGTTAATAATATCTCTCAAACTTTTTTAAAAACACATTTAAACATTTTTTAAATAAATCAAAAATACATTCACCATTAGGATGTTTTAAAAATATGCATGAATTTCCAAAAATAACGAAAAGAATCTATAAGGTGTTGATAAACGATTTTCGTCTATATATTGACGGTAAAGATTTTTTTAAACATTTTTTTATAAAGATAAAGGGTGTTAATGCTACTTTCAAAATTTTACGAGTATTTTTTAAACATAGTTTTAACGATAAAGGTATTTTTGAATTCTTAAAAGAAAATTGAAGAGAATTCATGTTTTTCATTCATTTTTTTTTTAAGGTGAAGATATTATTAAAAAATTTATAAATTTATAAATATATATATATTTATTTATTTATTACTTCAGCCTATATATAATTATAAAAGGACTAAAAAATCCAAAGACTACTAACATTATAGGGAAAATGTGATACTTTGACTGATTTGACATCAAAGTTGTAGCAGTTTGACTTACAAGAATGTGGGCAGGCATAGAACATGCCTATTGAACAAACTCATTAAATTTTAAAAAAATAAATAAATAATAATAAAAAGTTTTTTTTTTTTTTAATTTTCCTTTAAAATTCAAATACTCCCTTACATCCCAATTTCTTTTCATCGTCATTCTTAGAAATCAGATAGAAAGATTTGTTCCTAAGCATAGTTAGATGGTCTCACCATTATTATTGTCATATTGATTTCAAATAAAAGCCTCTTCGATAAGCGTTTGGATTTTTTCCTCAAAACAATTAGATTATAGAAATTTTAAGATTAGGGTTTCAAATCTTCACTCGATATCTCCTTCACACGTTAGCACACCAATACATATATCCATCTCGTTGTCCTTCATTTTCACTTTCTATCTTCGTAGCCATCACTTTCACCTTGGGCTCCCAACTTTTTCCCTTCCCCTTCCATCTTTAATCGTTCATCTCATCGTCCTGACCCCCTCGTCTCCTTCCACCTTCAACTATCCATCTCATTTAATCCATCGCTCACTTGTCCCAATCCTCTATAATAGTCTCTCAGCCCTCAACATAGTAGTCTATATCTTTAGTCATCACTAACAACCAGGTTATTCTCTCTACTAGGGTTAATCAAGTTGGAGAATGGATCAGTTTGAAAGGACACTCCTAACTCAACTCTCGTAGGTGACAATCAGTTACATCCTAATCTTGGATTCACGCTCCAAAACACCCATCATCCGAAAGCGATCAATGTCAAATCAAAAGATTCTCAAAAATGGGTACAAAGTTTGAGGTGACAATAGATCTAACGGGGCATTGTGTAAAAACGTTACAAAACAAAACCATGCAGAATGAAGTGGTTTGTAGTGGAAGAAGTTTGAAGGAATCTGGTGGGCAAAGGCAAAGGCAAAAGAGAAACACGCATTGATACTTACATACCCTAGCCAAGGACATTACCAAGTACAATTATACAAGTATAGAAAGGTGAAGATTTGAAGTGGAAGAATGGTATTATTACCATGTTTGGCAACTAGGAATGGACGTATCATTCATGGCAATGCCTTGTTTAAAAAACAACCTGCGTGCTTTTAGCCCTTTTCTTTATCAAGGTTCCATTTTTAGCATTGCACCCACAAAAGCAGCCCTTCCTCAACAGACCCACTTCTCATCTCTTCATTATGCTAAAACCCTTGCCTTAGCTCAACCAAACCTTCCTTGCCCACAATTCTCCTTCTCTCAAACATTAATGAGCAGCTCCCAAGACAAATCCTCCATGGATTTGGTTCAACCAAATGACCATCTTTGTTATGTCAAATGCAACTTTTGCAACACTCTTCTCGCGGTAACCTTCTCTCGTCTTTACTCAATTGAGTATACGTGTTCATGGCTTTCCTTTTGATGATCGTGTCTTTTATTTATATACCCATGATTTTTTCTTCAATTAGCTAACATAGGACTCTAACAATCCTCCCCGAGCCTCTATGACTGAACATCCGTGGTAAAACCCTATTAGATTACCAATGTGTTCTAGAGAAAAGGGGTTGTCTGGATAGTGCTAGACGGATAGATAACTCAATCCTAGTTTGCTCGAGAAGAGTATTGTTGGAGTCCATTAGCGTGAGGACTTTTGGAGAAACCAAAAGAAAAACCACAAGCTAAATTTGAGTTTGATGGCTAAATATGGTTGGATTTTGTTGGGTTTGGAAGGTTGGGATACCATGCAGACGTTTGTTGGAGACAGTGACAGTGAAATGTGGTAATTGTAGTAATCTGTCGTTTTTGAGCACAAGACCACCTTTACAAGGCCAACGCATTGATCATCATCCTCTCACTTTTCAGGTGACCTCCACAAATAGTTAGAGTGATATTGATAATTTTTCAATGATCAAACTAATTGATATTCATCTTGTTACAATCAGCCTCAGGTTGGCTTCTCTTATGATACTCGAAAGGGTGCATCGATATCGTCTACATCGTCGTCATCGTCTTCAATGCCAAATGAACCTCCCTCTCCAAATTTTGTTGTCAAACGTATGTTTTACTGTTCTATTACTAATTCAAGTTGTTCTTAATATAATCCATCCAAGATTAAATTTTTATTCATGAATCTTAAAGAAAATATTTGAGTTCATTGTTAAATTTCAAAAACAAAAATAAGATTTTAAATAGACTAGGATGAATAAAAAAAGAATAAAAAAATATATTTCAATTTTTATTGTATCTCAAAAATACCCATAAACTTTTAAAAATACTAGTTTTAAATTAAAACAATTAATACTTTCTTTAAATTTTTAATGTGTTTCAAAAACACCCTAGAAGTTTCAAACAAATCAAGTAATTAGATAACCATCTTTCGATTTTTTAAAAATTCAAAAATACATTCACCGTTAGTACAACGTTTAAAAAATATTCATAAACTTTTCAAAAATCCTTAAAACGTTTATAGATAATTTAAAAGATGTCGATAGACGATTTTCATTAATATATTAACCGTAAGAATATTTTAAATTTTTTATAATAAAGATAAAGTTGGTTAATGTTATTTTTATTATTTTGTAAACATATTACTATCCTTAAATTTAAATTTATTTTTGAACTCTTTAAAAAACTTGAAAGGTATATGTGAGTTTTAAAAGCTCAGGAGTATTTAAACTATTAAAATACTATCGATTTCCATTCAAAATGAATGACGGACATTTTTCTTTTTTTTTTTGAAAGTTTAAGGATATTATTGAAAAGTTTAACCGTATTTTTTGAAACAAAGAAGTAATTAAAACATCGAAAGTGTTCTTATTTTATTTTTATTTTATTTTATTTTTTTGCAGCTCCGGAGAAGAAACACAGACTCCCATCAGCTTACAATTGTTTCATGAAGTAAGAACAGTTCATTGATTAAGCAGAAAAGGAATAAAAAAAAAAAAAAAAAAAAAAAATTGTTAGTAGTCTTCTTGACAATATATTGTTGTGTTAGGGAGGAGATTCAACGCATCAAAGCTGCCAACCCAGAAATCCCACATCGAGAAGCATTCAGTGCCGCAGCAAAAAACGTAATTTATTATTATTTTTTCTAATCATTTATTTTCTTAATTCCTTCGAAATAAGTTAACGTTGTCACAACAGTGGGCAAGGTACATTCCAAATTCCGCAGCTGGGTCGGTTTCTGGGACTCCCAACGACGTAAGAAAAAGGGTATTATTGTACTTTTACATAAATAAAGCAACTATTTTTGTAGTTCATATTTAAGGTTCTTAGGGTTTTCAAACTTGCAGGAATGATACGGTTTAGAGCACTGGAAGAATCGGACATATCAAATGGCTGTCTGCTCTAGGGTTTCATGATCTTAAGATTCGCCATGTCTTTATTTATTTATTTTTCTCGCATTTCATGTTTTTCTTTATGCCACCTTTCATTTTCCGTTGGATGTGGATTAAAACCTATATTATTTTCTAATATAATCAATGCTAATATTTTCCATCGACCTAATTTATTTATTTAAATATATATACAATGTTAACATGTTACAACTCTTCGAGTGTGATAATTTGGTGATCTTTTAGCCTCTTTTTTCTAAAATTAAATCAAATAATTATGAATAGTGGATAAATAAATTTTTTTTAAAAAAAATTAAAAAGGTTGAGTGTTGGGTTGGGATTAGGCTGTGAAAAAATTCTATTAATCCAACCAACCCAAACTTTTAGAATCTAAAAAAAATCTTCAATCCAAATTGTCTCTTACCATTTTTCCTAGGAAAATTTTTTACTTTAAAAAGAAATTTTCAAACGGACGGTTAACGATGGGTCTGATGGGTGTATCCCCGATGCAAAACAAATTTTAAATTTTCAATGTTAATTTTAATTATTTAATAAAATTCTCGATCTATCGTTAAAAAATATTATCTAGCATTCACTTCATTATAAAAGATATATATGATATAAAATTAATAAAATTTAAGAGTAAACAATATTAAAACCTTTTTTGGGTTGAAGTTGATGAATTTTAGTAAAATTATCCCATAATTAATTTTTGCATTCAATTATTATTATTATTATTTTTTTGTAAATTTTTATTTAATTAGAATTATGGAGTTTATAAAGATTCTTACACCATTTTCTATTAAAAATAGTGAAAATCAAACTGATGTTATTTTAAGTTTGTATCCAATTTAATGAAATTAAAAGCGATAATCCTCGATTTGTCTAATAATTAGTTTATTTTTATTTTATTTTTTTTTATTTCAAAAAATAAAAATAAAAGCGCTTTCAGGCTCCGACCATTATCACGCATGATTGTACCGTTGGGCTTTACATGAAGCCCAATAGTGTGCTAGATATTAT